CTCTCCCTCTCCCTATTATTAGGAATATCACATTTGTGTGAAGGTGGGCAATAAAATCTGAACTATTGCAACTAAATAGGTAGTAGCCTAAGGGACTGACTTACAGCACACTTTACCCCCCCCCCCCTCTTCTCCATTCTCTTGCTTCGCTCTTGAACATCGATTATTAGCGCAATTAGAATGTCATCATGTGATAGAGCCTGTGTGTGTGTGTGTTGGCATGTACTTGGGCATCTTTTGTACTAATTGTATAATGCCCAATCTTAGCGGCTTTTCTTTCCTAAGTCTTTCTTTTGTTTACGTCATCACTCTTCGTTTACAACAATTGACTACTTTCCACAATTACGCTGTGTACGCTGTTTGCGTGTTCTCGATGCGGACACTCAGAACTCCATCAATCTCTGGGTCTCTCCATTCCAAGCTGTGCAAACAGATAAAGCGAGATAATGCCTTTTAAGCGTCCATCCCCGAATCACTTATCTGGACTTCCGATTTATGCTATCTATTACTAACTACTGATATATATGTGGTGGTAATGAGTAGTATTTATTTTAAGAACTCTCTTTTTAACTCTTAAGTGGAGATTGTGTACTGTACTGGCAAATTAATAATTGGCAATGGAATTTTACCAAACGAAGAGTACTGGGTGAAGTCCATTTTAGTATTCAGGTGTGTGTGTGTGTGTGCGTCCGTGTCCATTTTCGTATAATACGTGTTTGGAGTTAAAGAAAATACTTTTAAATTGACTTCTTAGACAGAAAAAAGTTATTGTTTTTATTGCTGTTTTCCTACTGTCAAAGTTGATACTGTTTATGCATTTGAGGGTAGGAGGGGAGGGGGTGGGGTGGGGTGGAGGGTTGTAGACGGGCAAAGTTGTCAATTCCCGTCTTGTGACAATCATTACAATAGATCTAAGACCCTTGGTTGGTGATGTTTTGTTGAGCTGTTTTTTTCGTCCACTTTTAATACTGACATTCAATTTACAGCGAACCCTCTCTATTGGACGAAGCACTTGAGGCTCGAATATCCAATTGACCTGTTGTTGACAAGGCCACCACAAATAACCGCATAGCTATAGTTGCCAGCGGTTAAATAAAGCAAAACTTCATTTGGAAAAAGTCACTTTCCATCAAATTTATATTACACGAAATGAACGGGAAATGGACAATGTAGACGGACGGTTATTAGTAAGTATACTTCCCCCATCAAATTCCAATTCGCCTGTACACACACGTTGTGGAAAGGGGATTCGGTGCACAAATTGAATTCTTGTTGGAATAGGTGTTAACACGTGAGAGAGAGAGAGAGATCATGAATTGCTTCTATCCGCTTGCTGCTAATACGTATACTTCGAATGAGTTTGGACAGTCGGCACGGACACAGACTGGTAAAGTCAGTCACTGGTAGAAATGATCAGCCAATCCTTCTCTCAATTGGATTTGTACCGAGTCGAGTTCACCTCGTATTCTGTAATCGTGATATTGAGACATCTCATCCTCCAGTTGACGATCCATGTCCGGCTTTTTTTGTTCGCGTAATACCTCTTTATTTACTAACTAGATACTTTCATACTCGTTTTAGTCTCTCACATTGGTGAAATCGAAAAAAAATTGCTAATAATAATAATAACACTTATTTTACATCCAATTGACAATCCTGAGACAAAAATTATTGATTTTTTTCAATCCGACTTTTTTGTCCGTTTCCACCCAGTAATCCCCCTCCCCTTCAATCAGTAGAAATATATATTTAGGTTATTTAGTCACTTTACTCTCATTTGATGTTCATATTATATTGGGGGTGCCTAATGTTATTTTTCTTCATACAAACTGTCAACTCCCCCTAATAAGTACGTAACTATTGGAACGATTTGTTGTCGTCTGCCGAACAGTGCTCAATAACCATAGCGCGATTTTCTACGAGAGCATTCCTTTGAATTATTAAAACTCAACACTGTCAACGGCTGGGGACTTTACAAATGACTTCTTCATTACTTATTCATCCCCGACAGAACTGTTAGACGTCAACTGATTCCACGTCCAGTACACTAATCTTTTAAATCTCTCCAATAATTTCATGTTTTGTTAGTTAATAAGAGATGCAGATAAAGCCGGAAGCTATATGTAGATCAATCTTAAGATTCTCTTTACATTTATTTATTTATATCAAATGGCAGGCGTTTTGATAGTTATCATTAGCCCTTTAGTTGACTTCAGGCTTTACCGAGGGTAAGGAACATCAAAGCGAAAAGTCGAGAGAGGGAACATCAAAGTGAAAGAAAGTCTAGAGTGGGGGGGGGGGGACAGAAGAGTGTTTCAAAGACGAGGGTAGAAAAGGTAGGAAAAGGGTGAGGTGAGTACTGTGAAAGTAGTCAAATATGACATACAGTGGAGTCATGGCAGCTTGAAATCAGAAGTCAACTGCCAGGTAATAGACTTTTTTGCCGTATGAGTATACGTTGCCCAGGGTGCACCACGTGGAGGTAAGTCTATCGCACACCCCAGATTCTCTTTACATCGTAGTGCATAATGAATGGTATTTCTTATTGTGCCTTCAGAGGTTTAAGTTGCATTTATATGTGACTTAAGCCGAGATTCAGGTCTATTCTCGGTCACTGATAACTAATAAGTAGTACTCTATTCATAAGTGTGCACTTTCTTTTGTTAGGATGAGAATCTTCGCAAGGCTTATCCCCGACTCGCGGCTGAGTTGCTCCAACAGCCCGGAGGACGGGCAGTTCGTTTGCAGCCAGGCACCCCCTGTGATAATTACCGTGGTTACTGTGATGTCTTCTTCGTCTGTCGATCTGTTGAAGTTGAGGGACCTCTAGCCAGACTTCACAAACTCCTCTTCTCCCCTCAAATGCTCAGTAAAGTTAAGACGTGGATTACGGTGAGCGAATTTCGACAAACTGCATAGTTCCATAGTTCTCATTCTTACCTACCTTCACGTGTAAATGGGTGATATTTTTTATCTTTATATCTCTCATTTGCAAGTCAAACAAAGTGTTTTTTCCAATTTTATTCAACTTTAAGCTGGTTGCTTTTTCCACTTCTTCGATATAGCTAGTCGCTTAGTCTTTCACTCTTTACACAAACCTACAGCAATTATCATCAATACGCTTTCATACTGCTTTTAATTAAAGCTGTGTGAGAGAGGGAGATTTGAACCACGGCTCATAGTAACTGCTCGTGGGAAACAAACGTCGCTTAATTTACTTATCAGTATAAAGCGGAAAGCTCTTGTTCTCAGACAGTGTTAAATAGGCTTTTATTCGTATTTTTAGCTATCATTGAGATTATAATTGCCATAAGTAATTTTAATCGATTACAGAACAAGTTCGTAATGTCCCCTTTGGTTCTACTCTTTGGAATTCTAGCAATAAATATCTCTACTTTCAATTAATAAGTAGTACGCATTAATTTCGTGTTTTTATATTATGCGTCGATTGGAAATTAACAGGTAAGTTTGTGGGGCTTGAGAGCACAAGAGTTTTAGGCGAAGAGGTGTAGAGCATTCCATGTTAAATGTGAAGATTTTTCAGAAGTGTGAGTTTCAAGTTTTTGTTCGAACGTAGTTTATTCATTTGTATCTTCATTAACCCCCCCCCCCCCCCTACACTTCATTAATCGGTCCGCATTTGTTCCACAACTGGAGAAACCGCGCATCACTTGTCACCTGTCTGATTTGGTTGCATAACCCCTTCCACCTTCGTTTTAGAACATTTAGTTTTTATGAACTGGAAAGAAATGGTATGGTCTTGAATTCATAATACCTAACTTCTTCCAATCGTTCTGTTTGAATCCTTCCTTTGTGTTTTTTTTCCGATTTGTAATTATTTATTTTTCATATTAAAATTACAAATATATTTATATGTCACTACTACTCCTTCAAGTATCCCATTATTCTTTCACTTAAATGGAAGCTGTGTCTAAATGACTATGTCTGCGGTGTGAGTTGCGAAATTGACTTTGCTATATTTGTGAATCCACTCAAGCGATCGTAACCCCCCAAAATTGTAATCAAATTGCCACTGCGTGTAGCGTACCACGTTTGGTTGCGTTTACTTCGTTCATTTTTTGTTATCAAAGTTATCCGCAGTGCACCCGCAATATCTTTTTGGCGAACTTTCCAAACCAGAAGCCAAACCAAACACGATGTTGTACGTTTATTTTACCTTCAGGTTTGGGGGTGGGGGGGGGGGGGGGGGGGTATAAGGGCACCAAAGTGTACCCGGGAATATTTAGCTAAGCGAATGCTTAATTTGTTTATGTACAAATATGCCATAGTTGAAAACATCTGTAATATGGCTGTTCCGTAATAATTGGGCCTCAATTTTTGCAGGTTAAATAGTGAATTGTAAATTAGGTTCAACCGATCAGACTTTTGGAGGTAAGTCCTCGTTTTCTGCTAATCGGATTAGAAGTGCTTGGGAAATGCAAGTTTACCGGAGTACAAAAGCTTGTCACCTATTATTATTGCATACGAACTTTCGGTGAATTTGAGGTCAAATTGTATGTCCTTTTCGCTAAGGTCTCTCTATGTGGTGTTATGAATTGAACAATGGAATGCATAGCCTAGTTTATCTGTTTAAGTTAAAAGTTGTCAACGCTACTACTAATCAATTGAATTAAATAGATTTTAAAAATACTTAAATTGATGGTTGCAATCAATTTGACCAAACAAGAAGCACTACATACTAGTATTTACTAAATGGAAAATCAAATATGGCATTCTCTATCATTTGCAACATCGCTTAAGTCAAGCCTTTGTAGATTATTAAAATCGCTTTAGTATTTTACTTTTTGTTTTGAACTCCCGCTCGTTTCAACCGATCTATCATTAGAAAATTCTCCACTCTCTGGTTAGAAAGGAGCATGTTCTAGTGCGTTATAATTAATTTCCTATTAATTCAGTGGTACCAGTGGCTTATTGTATGTAGTTTGGACGTTCAATTTATTCATACTCCATCTAATAGCTTCTGATTATTGTAGGGGCTCAATCTGCCTTCAAGAATTAAGTTTGCTCGACCTCAGTGTGACATTAAGCCCCATTCATGTTTTCATCTCTTAGGTGCATTGGTGGGCAATGCTGCTAATAAGTTTCGCTTCAGTGGCTTCAATGATAATCTTCATGCGTCTCTGTAGCTACAGTACTCCCTCCTCTCGAACCTACCATCCTCAATCTACGAGAGGCCATCCAGTCCCCTTCATCCCACCCCCACCCCTTCAACACTCCAACTCTTCTGCCAGCGCTGCCCACTCTCCCCCACTGTCACCAATCGAGCCGAATAGCAGTGCCAACAATTACCAAAAAGGCCAGAGGAGGCGATTTCCACCTCAAGGCAACCTACCCAGAGAGCAATTCGCCCCACCCTTCCGTCTAAAACGCCGACGAACTATTGATCCGATCAATGGAGTGGAGAGGCAAGTCTCGGAGCTTATTCCTGCATCGTCTGTCCCTGTGCCGTATCATAGGAGTCGGGGAGGAGGTGGTGGTGGAAGTGGTGGAAGGGGTCTTGCCAGACCTCCATCGTCTAATTCTTCAAAGTAAATCGCGTATTGTCTAATACACAAGAATGTTGTTTTACCTGTCGTGTCATTTTATAAGTTCAGAAGGAAACTAGAAGAGAACGTGTGCCTTCGTTTGGATAATTTTTTGGCAATTATTCTCTACCATTCGGTGTATTTTGAGCTTTTTTATGTTCAAGAAAAGCATTTTTCATCAATCTGCTTAATAAATGGAATGAGTAGTACTTGTGGCGCCTGTTGTGACAGACTTGTGGTGTGTTGATAAACACTTATTGGTCATTTATTTATGTCTCTAAGGTCTATCTTAAGGTCTGGTTATAAGAATAGCCTACGTTCTGATATCCATATTTGGGCCTGCATCAATTAGCGCCAAAAAGCTGATAAACATGCTTCTCTAAAGTGAAACATGAAATAGAAGTTGAGGGTCGAGGGGGGGGGGGGACTCATTCAATTCGTGAAAAATTTTGTTATAACTTTCCGGCCCCTCTCAATTGTAGCTTGGAAACAGAGTTTCCTAGATGTCCATTGAAAGGCTCGTTACCCCACTATACGCTCGTCGTTGTCATTAGTGATTGGGGGTTGGCTTCGCGTATCATTCCCACAAGTTTGCTTCCTTCCGTTGGCTCTGATATTTCCAATGGTTGAGATTTATCTCAAAGGCGCAGTGAGAGAACTCACTTGGAGATTATAAAAGCATTCTTCTAGAAGGTACAAATTTAAAGCTCTGTGTAATTGCACCCACCCAGCCTAAATAGAACAAAGAACAGATACAGTGGTTAGAGTGTAGTTATTGTGTGTCTGAAGTCTGACTTTGGAAATTAATGAGGTAGTCACATGTCCCCGAATATCTCATCTTAGTAATTCCATTCGGCCGGGTGGTATCTTCATTCCTCAGTGCAAATTCTAACGGGAGTGGAAAGGGGTGCTCATTATTGTTTAACATCCTGTAGATAGGGGATAGTACATAATGGAAAATTATACAGATCTACAAGATCGTGAAAGGTGAAAATATAGGGGAGGGGGTGATGTAAAAATGGGCAAAGTATTAGAGGAAGTGACTGTCGTCTCCTCATATGGGCACAATCCACCTTCTCAGTAGGAGAAAAGAGGCTGACGATTCTCCACCACATTGCTCCGCTCTACATGCTCCTGAATGCGTTGCTTTGCATTACTCTTGGTGATGGATTGACGCCGTTGACATTACCCAAAATCCCTCTTTGTTTGAAAAAAAAGAAGAGAATATATTTGCCCTTTACCAATATTTTACTATTCTGCTTCAAGTTCTTGTCCTAATAACGGAATAAGTTCAGCGATATTATTTCCACTCTTTTTTTAAAGTTATTTATGTTTGATTCACTCTTCTTTTAATATAATGTGGGTCTAAGAATTATTATTGAGGGTCGTGTCGTTCTTTTGTTTGAGTTTGTGTTGTTTCTTGTTGGATTGTGTTCCGTTCTATTCTAACTTCAACTGTTCATCCACAATGTTTAATAGCATGTGAAATATTATGCATGAGATTCCTAAAACACTTGTTTTTTTTTATTTAACTAAATCAGAATAATGATTTTATTATTATTACCTTCCAAATCTACTCTTTTGTCCCCCCCCCCCCACCCCACCCCTCCTCCTCCTCCTTTTTTGGCAAGACAGTTATGCGCTGACTTTGGATGACTAAGCAATTTCCAGTTGGAAATGAAATGCCCTGGCCGATGTTGCTTTTCATTTGCTTCTCCTTACAATTCTGGCTTCAGATGTACCAATTTGATAAGGGGTGATTTCCCAATTAGCTAGATGGCCGCTCTTGATTTACAAAAGACGCCAGTTTAGTTTTGAAATTATTTATAACGCCATTAAATCTATCCCTACTTAAAATACTTCTTTGTTTTATTTGCTGCGATATAAGCTGTAAGAACCATCGCAAATTTTTCTTATTATTAATCAAATTACCAATAAATGTAATGAGTCATCGCAAATGTGCAATCGCATTGCATCCGAGCTTACTTATGCCCTAGTCACAACTTTTCAGATGGAATTCAAAGATGAGAAATGTGGTTTGACCAATCCGACGCCAATCTCTGTGTCTCCTTTTACTTGTTTGTCTGCCTTGGTAACTATGACCTTCTGCAAGTAGAACGCGTTGGAGTCTTGCTATCACTGACGTCTCAAAGTTTATCTATTTCAAATGGCAGGCGATTTGATAGTTATAAGTCTATCGCACACCCCACTTTTCAAAGAAAAACCTGAAATTTGAATTGTGCTCGTTTCTTCTTTTTTTCGTTTTTTATAAATGCATTTATTTAAAGGGAATTAGACATGTTACTCTTGTATTTGTGCCTACATTGGCAGTCCCCAATTGAAAAGTTAGCTTGTTTCACTTGATAACCAAAGTGAAAGAGAGCTTTCTACGCGTCGAATGAACTTAAGTCCAATCAACCGCTATTCGAATCTATTAAATATTTATATCAAATGGCAGGCGATTTGATGGTTATCATTAGCCCTTTAGTTGACTTCAGGCTTCACAGAGGGGAAGGAACATCAAATTAAAAAAAAGTCGAGAGGAGGGGCACTGAAGTGTGTTTCAAAGACGAAGGTTGAAAATTTAGAAAAAATATTATGTAGTACTGTGGAAGAGGTCGAATATGACATTCAGTGGGGTGATGGTAGTTTGAAGTCAGAAGTCAATTGCCAGTTTATAGACTTTTTTGTCGTATGGTGAGTATACGTTGTCCAGGGTGCACCACGTGGAGGTAAGTCCATCGCACACCCCATGTATTAAATATAACTCCACACGTTAGAGCTTTCTGTGTAGTTAGTTGTATACATGGTGGGCGTGTAAAGGTTGAACACTGGTTAGCATGCTTGTCTACTAATTCGGAGGTCATGACCTCGAGGCTGAGTGACCTGCCTACACACTGGTTGAGTTGTTTTACCATCGAAAATGGATGTTGAAACAGCCTTCCCTAAATCGTATTATTATGTGCATTATCGAGACATGCACAATCCTCAAATACTTTGAACTTATGTTGTCCTGAATGCGTTTTTATTCCACTAAAAAAGTGTCTGTTTGAACTGCTGTGATCTGTGTTTTTTTTGCTCTACATTTTTGGCATTTCGGAACTTGCGTATAGCCTGCCTATTTTTCTAGAATTTCGTGTTGCTATAAATACGAATGGCCAATTAAGGTGCATCGCCATTGACAACATGCCTTTGTTTAAACTCGAAATTGACGATATTGTAAATATATACATTTATTTTTGTTTATTTGTGATCGGAATAATTATAGATTAGGATAGGTTTCGAGCGCATATCTACTCTAATTTATGACTCGAGTGTGTCTTCTCGTTGGCTATTAATGTAGTACTGAGAGCACTTCATTCCTACGCGTGAAATAAGGGTATTCGGTAATCGGTGGGGGGGGGGGGGGGGAGGGCAGTAGACAATGTCTTAGTGTAAGAAGTGGAAGGTCACAAGGTCACTCTTCACTGTGATGCCCCACTAGTGACGTGAGTGGTCAGTTGCGCTGGTCTACATGTGGGTGTACTTGTCCTCCGTCCAAATCAAGCTTTTCCCCCCCCCCATGTTGAATGCTGTCTAGGGAATTGAACACGATAGATTCCACCTCGAATTTGTTTACTTCCACTTTGCCCTTTAACGGAGTTTTCTCTCCACTTTGTCAGATCTTTTCTAGTAGCCCCAATTAACACATCTTATACTATATGATTTCGACTTGGAATAAAATGTACCAGATAGAAATTGTTGTGCGCTTGTGTGTGTGTGTGTGTGTACTAAAATGTGTGCTTTCTTGGCAAAATATACCGTTAAAGCATTTCATTAGCTGCTTGGTACCACCGTACGAGTCTAAGGCGTATAGACACATGTTGGCCAACTTGGCGATTGGTTACTGATTGTTGGACAATTAGCTCAACAACGTGTAGCAAAGTTTTGGCATGAACACGCCAGCAATGCTGTGTGTTTTGGAACAATTTCTCGATCAAATTCTTATGGCTGGCATTAAATGCTACTCCGGTTCCTCACTCATTCTCTTGCATCTGCTTTTGGCTATGTAAACTTGCAACCTTCCTGTCACACAAACTAATTTATGTCGATATATATTTATTTATTGATTTCATATGGCAGGCGTTTTGATAGTTATCTCATTAGCCCTTTAGTTGACTTCAGGCGTCATAGAGAGGAGGAGGAGGAGGAACAACAAAGTGGCATAAAGTCGAGAGGAGGGACAGAATAATGATTAACAGATGTGAAAAAGTCAGACAGACACAAAGACAGGGTAAAATAGGCGAATATGGCACACAGTGAGGTGATGGTAGTTTGAAGTCAGAAGTTAACTGTCGGTTAATAGACTTTTTGCCGTATGATGAGTATACGTTGCCCAGAGTGCACCACATGGAGGCAAGTCTATCGCACACTCCAAGTCGATATATTTATATCTTTGCCTCGTCGACTTCACGCTTGAAATAGACGCCACAGTGTATTCACTTTAATAGTGGCAAAGGTTTTTGTATAGTTGTAGCAGGCGAATGGGGTCTAATTTGATATCGCGTAGCAACGGAAACTTATTGGCAATTAGAAACCAACTTGTAAATTAAACTGCAGTTGATCCAATTCCTCTACTCCATCCCAACCGCCCCCCCCCGCCCCGCCTCCCCTTCCTCCTACATCGAAAGCCAATAGGTAATAAATGACGTAATTTTGACGGTTCGTATTGTGACGTTTTTGTCTCAATTTCAGTCAAATCATTTGAGCTGCTGATTTCTGCTGCGACTTTCCAATTTTAGTTTTTGAATGAATTTCTTGGAGGGCTGGACCTCCAAAAGATCACTTGTCAAGTTTCTCACTGATGTATAGCACTTTGAAGGCTGATAAGTTAGTATTGTTTTTTAAGGGGGTGTACTATTAAAGGCTATAAACTTATATTTGCGTCACCTGCTTTGTCTACACTCACAATCTTTACTAGACTACGACTGCGTTTTATTTTCGCTTGACAAATAGCTTTTCGAACAGTTCATTTGGCGATAAAGGACGTCAAGTGTACGCTTAATCTGAAATAAGAGTGCTAACAGTCCAACACCTTAGTTGAATTTCAAACTCATTGAGTTTTCACCTTCTCTCATAGGGTTATAGCTTTGTCCCCAAAGGTATTCTAATGTCCAGAAGTTCAATTTGCATAGCTTGCCCACTCCAACACCCCCCCCCCCCCCCCCCCACCCCCCAACTCACCCACCCCGGCCCCCGGACAAGTAAGGGAGCTTCCAGTCGCAAATTCGCGACGCGTAATTCGTCCACAACTTAAATGCACTTTTTTATCACAATTCTTTGTCTTATCAAACATCCCGCCCTTTATTCACTCACCTACCTCTTAACTCCGACGTCGTGTCAACGCCGTTTCCAACTGCGGCTAACTTTATTTAGATGAATGTCAACTCTCTTGTTTCAATAATACTGTCACCGAATTCTCGAACAAAATGTTATGTTTTTTGTTCCACTTGTTAAGCTAGGTTTAACTTTTTTGTAGATTGAGGTCGGTGTGTCTGACAGGAATGGGACACCGTGGAATGGTATTCAAGCTCATCAAATTACAGCCAGATAGCATGCTATTCTCGAATATTCTACAAGTGCCAAGGCTTTAAATCTCGCTTGTCAGAATGTAGCATAGAAGGCCTCGTCGCAATAAGTACCTGGTGAAGGGAAAGTTTATAGGAGAGAGAAAATTTGGGATGTAGGGGCATAAAGAAAGAAGCTCAAGATTATGGCAAAAAAATGGCTTATCAAGAAACAGTAGAGGATACATAGAGGAGTGGAAGCCACAACCTCACCACTGGTGCAAACTCATTTGAGGAGAGCAACTTATTGACCAAGAGGTACCGGGGGCTTTCCGAAAAGTCGTCCATGTCGGTTAAAAACAGGTGCTCTTTTGAATGGGTGAACTTTCGAAAAACCCCAGTACTATTGCGTCTCCTTACCCTTGAATCTATGATCGCGCTTAAAATGCTATATTATTCTCATTCCTTTAAGGCTCGCATCTAAAAATTTTTTTGACACAAATTTTAACTTTTAAATATTGTTGTTGATGTGATTGGAGGGAGTGCTCAGGATTTAGGTCTTTGAATATCGCGTGTCTTGTTTCTGATTTTAAAGAGCTCAACCCAAAGTCACAGCAAGACCAGTGAGTGTCGTAGTCTACCAGGAGCCGGTCCTACCCTCGCATGTTCGTGACCTTCCATCAGGTCATCCGCCCTCTCAACCATCTACATCATCACAGGATCGTCGTCAAACCTCTTCTAGTGCAAGTAACCCCCTTAGTGGTAATAAACAAATTCACAAACAGAGACCCATGTCATTTGTTGTACTGGGTACCGCGGTCCCGTCTGGAGGTAGCCATGACAACGAGAATCTCCTTCTCCTGATGCCACCTATTAATGACAGCCCTCCACCTGCCTATAGTCCTCGCAGGTATTCCATCGTTTTATTTGCTCATCTATTCTCCTGATCATGTCTACTAGTCCATCTGACTCTAGGTGCAGTCGTCTTGAGACTAGTTAGAAGGGCACCAGAAAATCGTTTTTTTGCTTCCTTCGGAAGAGTGGTAGTGTTCTAAAGCAACCCCTTCCACCCACCCTTCTGGTGAGGATCTCGAATTAGTGTTATTTTTGGCTATTTCATTCATTTGATGGGCACTTAATGCGCCGGATTTTGCAAATGAGAGCGTTAACCACTGTTTCACTAGTAGATAATCCCCTCATTAATAGGCTCCGTCAAGGATGCGAAGTAAACCAGAGGTTGAATAACTTTTAAATCATTGCATACTAATTGGGGTTTTTTTTGGGCGAAAATATCCCCTACATCCATCTTCTTTGTCACCTTGTAATTGCAATGTTTCTTTCTGGCTGTCATATATGACCATTTAGGGCCCCTCCATTACACTGGGAATCACGCATCTGGTTATGCACTTCCAGCAGTCTTTGAGCCTGTTCTTTGTGTGTGAATTTGAGATCTTGCTAGTATGAATTCTAGCGCAGTAAGTGGTGGAGGTGGTGGGCGGTAACTACTGATGCAGTGGTAAGATAAGTCATATATGAGCTCTCAATTGTTTTCTTTACTGCTTTCAGCCACAAAAACGTCGATAATCAAGCCGACCACAATGTCAACACCTAGCTCTCCCCCCCCCCTCCCGGTAAATTCACACAGAAATATCGCGATAACTTGTTATTGCTATTACCTTGTGTCCTTTCTTTTCTAATATGTGTTTTGCTGTATTGTGTATAAAAAGACAAATTATTCAATACTAACAATGTTATATTGCTACACTTTTTGATTCCTCTACAATACACACACACACATACACAGACCAGGTAAGAATATATATTAATTGGCTGGGAAATATACAAACATAATTAATTTAAAACTACCTACGTAATAGTCACCAAGCCAGGTTGGTCTTCCTTGGGGGAAGAGAGAAAGGAGAGAAAGAGAGAGAGGAGGTGGAGTGGGGAGGGGAGTAAGGTAACATAAAACATAAAGAGAAATGCGCAAAGATCCAGCCAATAGAAGAAAGAGGAGAAAAGGTCAAACACTAGACCCTCGAGTCCCTCATGCCGTCTACTTGATGCTGCTGGTTTTCGTTACCAACGAAGAATTTCGCTTCTGTGAAAGAATCAAAGAGGCGAACCCTATCATCTCGTACATATTTCTTTCTCAGGAGACGCACTATCACCAGACCGAGGAGGAGAATTATGGCAAATAGAGTGCAAATCATTCCCAGCGCAAATTTAAACTCCCATCCAGACGATTGTCCAGCGCTGCTTATGGCCTCTGGTTTTGGTGTTTGCATTGTAGTAGTCGCGACGGAAGGAGAAGTGGTGATGGTGGTAGTGGTGGTGGTGGAAGTTGTAGTTGTAGTCTTGGATTCAGTCGGTTTTGGGGTGGTTGAAGATGTAGCAACTGGTGGAGGTGGTTTTGAGAAAAGAGCTTTATGAATAATTGGGAAAACATCATAGGTGAAGAAGCTTCCATTGTTATTAATGCCACAGCCCTGTGTGAAAGCTGGACCATAGGCCAAGAAGGTGGTTAGCATGTCCTCAACTGTTGAGAGGTAGCCGTGACCAGCCTTGAGCTTTCTAGGCAACTTTTGGGGGTTGAGATGATCCAGAGCCCTGAAGGGATGGTAACTTATATCGATGAAGTAGGGGGGAGTGGCAACTACGACAATAGGTGGGAGTTCCGAGGATGGCCATGCTTGCATTGGTAGTGATTCCGGCGTGTACGTCTTGTAATAATCACTGTCCCTTCTCACAAATTCATAGACCTAAAATTACGCAAAAAAAAACAAAAAACAAAGGAGGTGAACCATGAAACGTCTATCTCATTTTCGGGAGTGGAAGTTGGAAGGAGGAATTTTACCTCATAATTATATTTTAACAAAATTTAAAAACACAAAAAATTGACGAAAGGCAACTATTCCGAAACCGATAACAATCCTGAGAAAAAACCTACCAGTCTTTCACAGGAGTAAAACTATTAAAGTTAAATTAAAGGCCCATTTAGAGATTCCAAAATCATCGACTTACTTCCTTAAAGGCACCAGGCTTGGGCCATAGGCCCGCAACCGCTCCATGATTGACAACACGGATGATATCAAACCTTCAGACAAAAAAAGGAAGATGATAGAGATTATGAGAATGCAAAATAATAATTACATTTTGGTGGGGGGGGGGGGGGGGTTAAAATAAGTTGTGTGGCCTTACCAAAAGAATCTGTGTTCAGCAGTGACGAAGCCCTTGATATCTGTCATGCCATGATCGGAGACAATCGCAAAGTTGATATTCTCCTCGGGGTGGATTTTAATATGCTCTACAACACTTAAAATTGCCTCATCAACTGTAAAGATGGTGTCATTCTCCATCATAACATCCATGGAGGAACCAGAGTGGTGAGCGATTGTATCGAGTTCATCGTAGTAGACAACTAGAGAACACAAAGAAAGAGGCTAAAAATCAGGCAAGAGATCCCTGGGGGGGGGGGGGGTGGGGTTAAAGTCATTAGATGGGGAGGGGAGGGTTAAGGAGAGAGTAAGACATATAACTTAATCCAAACGGAAAGAGGGGCGAGAGAGAGAGAGAGAGAAAACATTACTTGCAAGATCGGTGGTCTCATTAGCCAATGAGTGCATAGCAGTAGCAAGAGTTGATTTAAGAGTATACTTCCAGTATTTCCTTCGTGGAACGCAGCGAATGCCTTTTTCACGAATGTCAGGACAGAATGGGAAGTGGTATAACTTAACATTCTTGCCCTAGAAGAGAGGAAAAATAAGTGGCACTATCGAGTGACAACGGCCTTAACAAACCTCTTCTGCAGCTCTAAACCAAAGGAGATCGCGGTGTCTGAAATGTATGCCAGTGGTAAGATTGAAGCTGTTGAAATGCTCTGACTGACGACCTGCGAAGAGAGCATGAATGTTGGTGAAACAATTGGAGGGGAAAAGCGGCTTCACTTTTGGCACATGACATCCATTATCACGCATTTGATAGACGCCTCCGGTATCATAAACGTGATCGAAGTAATCGTGTCTCAAGCCATCGATAAAGAGAATCAAAAGTTTGCTTCCATTCGGATTTGGCTTACTATAAGCCACATTCGAGGCAAGAGCAACAATAACACATAATAGTGGAAATAAACGTCCCATGAGATATAACTAGAGAAAGGTCAAATAAAAAAAAACGTTGAGGATATACAATAGCGGTTATAAAACTAACGAGGAAAATACACCGCAATACTAAAAGACTTTATTATAATATATTAAGTGTATAAGTTAATGAGTTGATCACTGACAGCCGCAGTGTCCAGAATACCAAGATCAGTGATAAGTGCGGTAATGTAATTGGGACTTGTATAATCGATAGACGGTACTTCAGTCTTCGGTTTTTCCGAATTTGAATTTTTTATATTAACCCAGGTGTCGTACTTCGAGGTTGATGCCGGGGCCGGCACATTCTCATTATCCTTTTCTGCGTCCACTGACCCATCAGCAATTGAAAGTGCTGTCGGTTGCTTATGGTGTTTCCATTTCAATTCATCTGGTATGTACGATTGGTTGAAAGGGTAGACCCGAAGAAATTTGAAAGACTCCACGAGAACGTAAACCGGTTTGCGTAGAGTGCAAGCTATCATAGCAACCGAGCAAGAGCCCAAAGCATTCAAGACACCACCGCTCTCAACGACAGCTTCAGCTCCAAGAACAACGGCATCAATCTCCGGCATGATGTAACCTACAGCGGTGTCTGGTACAAGAGTACAGCTTACACCGTGTTTTGCCAACTCCTTAACCATCAGTTCGCCAGATTTACTTGGCATGGATTGTGTGACATAGCAATGTAGCGATCTTGGATTCTTTTCATTATTAACAATGTAAGACAAGGAATGTACGACGTTGCGAGATTTAGCATGGGTCAAAAGTTTGAAGTTACTGCCGATCAGATGGTTAGTATTTCTAGCGATGTTATCCCTGAAACCCTTCATCTGTTTAAAGAAATAAAAATAAATAATTTCATTCAAAAGGCGCGCAAGTAAAAAAAGATCGCATTACTTTTCTCAAATACATTCGAGCTCGGTCAAGAAGCATCTTCTTCAACTGTTCATAGGAAAGCGTAACATCCAGATTTGCCATTGTAATAAAATGCTGAAAGATGTCGCAGGCAGATTTAACGGAGCAATTACTTTCATTGGTTTTTTGCAGCTTCTTAACAGCATCATTTACCATTTCGTCAAGACCCTGTACAGTTCTGATATTACGGCACTTCATGAGACAAATGAGCACCTCAATGGCAATAATACCCTCGGATGTATCCCGCCTTTCTCTGCATCGATCTGCAAAGATCTTACCAACATCCATGGACTCGTCATAGTCAATTGTCACCTCCGAGGCGACATTAGCATTTGTGTCTTTTGAAGGTACGACCAACATTTATAGCGATTGCGAGCTCTAAGGGCAAGTTAATGGAGACATTTGATTGGCTAATAAAAAATGCTAATAAATTGTTTTTTTTTCTGATCTCCAATAATTTTACATTAAATACTATTTAAAAATAAATAAATAATAAAATAAATAATAAATATTATTTATTAATATTTAGAATAATAAATCTCTTTGTTGCCTTCAAAGAATTGATAGATATGCAGCCAAGGTCGAAATGACTTGACATATTTACAAATACTTACATTCAGATTTAGTCACAATGACTAGAATTTTCGAATGAAAAATAAACCCTTAAATAATACCATCATATCTTCTGCAAAATTGCAAAAATATCCTCTTATATTATTTTCAAGAACTTCATTAAAATATTTTGCGCCATGTAATAGATTCTCATAGAAAAGTCGTAATTGAGTTGATTCAATGAAGAAATAAAGTGAATTATTATTGTAGTGTGTGGTCAAATTGTCAGGTTAGGCGCATGTTTGCAAATATTTGGATTCAGTAGCTTTTACGACAATATAGATTGAACGATGAGATAAACGATATAAAAGATGAATACACAAGGACGACGGAAGATGTATAAATGACAAAACCACATTCTCAATACTGCCACTCAAGACTTTTGGAATTTCCAGTTTATAATCGATCATCTTTCCAGATATAAATACGGAACTGCTGCTTAAGTAATTATCACGATTGTTAAAGCTCAAAAACGAAGTTTCTTGTATTGTTATGAGGAAAAGAAGTTCGTTATTCGCTTCACTTTCGTCTATTATTATTCGATCTTATCATAAAACACAAGTTGTACAAGGTCATATATTTTTGGCCACTAAATCAAGGACGCTTGTCAATAGGTTTTCCCCAGTAAATCTAAGGGTTAAGTCAAAATGCGTTTTCACCTGTGCTTATTCGTGTCATAAGTAATACAAGTTGCCTTGGTTGATTGGCTTACAGGGTAACTATTATTTAACTATTTCAACTTTGGACGTTTTAAGTTTTCTTCTCACCTATGACTACCAAGATAGCAAAAGTGGGAAATCTTGCTTTGCATGTATTTAGATCAAATTTTTTGCGCGTAGCCACAGTAACAGAAGATCCTGAGACTCTAAGACATCTTCTTGTCTCTATTTCCTCCCTTACCCTCCATGATGTCGGTCTAGAATCACCTTTCTCTCTTCCACCTTCCCATCAAGTTAATGCTCCAGTTGTTTACATGCACATAACAGAGAATGAAGTCTTCTCTATGGGTATGTTTATCCTCCGCCCGGGATCTCGCATTCCCCTACATGGTCATCCTGGGATGTTCGGTGTTATTCGGGTGATGCAGGGTTCGATGCGTTGTCGTTCTTTTACACCTCTCTCACGAGACCCCGATATGCTCCCAATACCCGAAGCTAGCAATTTCGGAGGCACTACAACCGCTATGTGGCGTCGAGCGCTAGCTTCTCCAGATCTTACAATTGCTGAACCATATGCAGACAAACTCCTTGCTGCTGCGGATGATTCACCCTGTCTTCTCACTCCACGCTTGGGAAATTTACACGAGCTCACTGCGGTTGATGGAACCGTTGTCTTCCTTGATATTCTCTCACCTCCTTATGATCATGACCTTGGCACTAGGGAGTGTCTCTTCTATCGTGAAGTGGATTTACCTAACTCAAATGCGGTAACGTATAATAACCGATTGCTTATTGGTAGAACTGTTGAACTACTTTAATGTTGTTATAACATTTTGTCTCACACCTCTCGGGGGGGGGGGGGTCTTTTTCATTTCTCAACGTAGAATAGAATGTCCCGTTATTTATCTGCTTTTTGAACTTTATATAAGCGTAGTGTCTTGAGCTTTTGTACTTAGAATTGATGCATCTAACAACCTTTTTCGATTTTCACCCTATTTACTATTCCTGTTTGAATTCTCTTGAGGTGAGCTTTTGTTTTAAAGGATGGAAATCGGCCATGTTGTCTTCTAATATAGGAATAGAAAATTTACTATTTTTAACTGTCGTAGCATTTCTTGGGCATCGAAACTCACTCATTGTCGTTGAAAATAAGCTTTTAATACGAGGCACAATTATTGGAGCTGTAATACTACCTCTTGTTCTTTAAAGTGCTCTTCTTATATGAGTTTGCGCCAGTGGCCCTCAAATCTGTGGAAGAACTTAACTTTCCGGTTATTTTCTAATTTAAATTGAATTGCGTTTGATGGGATCATAGATCCAAGAGTAGGTGGATGTAGCAGTTAGAGATGGCGAGTAGAATATATTACCTTTTATGGTAAAAGTAGGCTTGGTGGTCATCTTAAAGTGGCCATAAAAGGCGCATCAAATCAAGAGAATAGTACATACCAATTGTACGCTAGAAGAGATATGTGGAGAATTTGAAATCTGAACCGCTCTAGTTGTACTTAAGACAAGTGAAAGCTCTCGTCAAAATTGTTGCTGATAGTACGGAAAGTTAATGAAGAATTGTAGATTTTAACATCATAAGTCCATCAAACTTTTATCTTAGTGTTAACAGCGAGTCTTAGTACATGGAAAAATGTAATTACTTATTGTATTGTGTTTAGACGGGAACTACATCCCACAGTTTCTTGATGAGCCATTTTTCCCTAATCTTGTGCTTCTTTCTTTATGCCCCTTCATCCCAAATTTCCTCTCCTATAAACTTTCCCTTCACCAGGTACTTATTGCGACGAGGCCTTCTATGCTACATTCTGACAAGCGAGATTTAAAGCCTTGGCACTTGTAGAATATTCGAGAATAGCACACTATCTGGCTGTAATTTGATGAGCTTGAATACCATTCCACGGTGTCTCATTCCTGTCAGACACACCGACCTCAATCTACAAAAAAAGTTAAACCTAGCTTAACAAGTGGAACAAAAAACATAACTTTTTGTTCGAGAATTCGGTGACAGTATTATTGAAACAAGAGAGTTGACATTCATCTAAATAAAGTTAGCCGCAGTTGGAAACGGTGTTGACACGACGTCGGAGTTAAGAGGTAGGTGAGTGAATAAAGGGCGGAATGTTTGATAAGACAAAGAATTGTGATAAAAAAGTGCATTTAAGTTGTGGACGAATTACGTGTCGCGAATTTGCGACTGGAAGCTCCCTTACTTGTCCGGGGGCCGGGGTAGGTGGGTTGGGGGAGGGGGAGGGGGTGTTGGAGTGGGCAAGCTATGCTAATTGAACTTCTGGACATTAGAATACCTTTGGGGACAAAGCTATAACCCTATGAGAGAAGGTGAAAACTCAGTGAGTTTGAAATTCAAATAAGGTGTTGGACTGTTAGCACTCTTATTTCAGATTAAGCGTACACTTGACGTCCTTTATCGCCTAATAAACTATTCGGCAAGCTATTTGTCAAACGAAAAGTAGTTTAGAAAGAACTCTCTTTTTAAGACTCTTTCAAGCTGTTCTATAATCATATTTGTTTGGTTTGGAATTTTTTTCCCAATTTTGCATTTCAATTAAGCTCTTCATGTGTTCTATTTTTATTGAAGAAAATATAATAAATAACTTAGTTTTTATAATGCTGTACGAAATTAACTTCATATAGCATATTGTGCATTTTGTGGGTTGATTTTATGATACTCTATTTGTACGCAGGTCTAATTACTCCATAAACTACGTTTTTTAGCAAGCTCAGCTGGAAATTTGGCTCTTAAATGGACACTGAAGGGGGTGGTAATTTTGGACAAATCAAATGTTTTTCGGCCTCACGTAATTGATAAAAAAATTAAATCGCGAATTTGAATGCTACTTTCATTTATTGAAATAATGCGTATATGTGTAAAACCTGACAGAATTCACGAAGCATATATAAGTTTTTAAGCGCTTTCCTACTGATTAATTGTCAGTAGGGTAAGCTGGTAATATTTATCAGTTTTGATATTACCACGAACGACGAGACGGTCGCACCCATTAAATGGTCTATCTTTTATACATTCTCAACGTAAATATTTCCTTCGAATGTTCTTCAATGTCAGTTAATAGCTCTTTTCCTAAATTACTGTAAAAAATTGATTTTTTTTCTCATATGCACAGAAAATGCTCTATTGGACCACCTGCCTCAAGCCAATCGATTAGCTCAATTCCTAATGTCCACTTTAGTTAATTCCTATGTGAATGTGCTATAGTTTTATGCCCTAGTCACGTTTTCTGTTACTTTTTTATTTTCTCATTCCTAGACTGACCATCAAACGCTTCCCCGAGGGACTCCTAGGGTCTATCTAACAGAGATTAACCAGCCTCGTGATTATTGGTGCGAACTCCTTCCCTACCGCGGTCCACCCATTTCTTAAGCCAATCAATCAAAAGGGGGGGGGGGACGGGAAGTGTTGACTTGAACGTATTCCTAACGCAGTATTCTTCCTTCCAACTGTCCTATTCGATTTTGTGTGTACATATTTTGGCATGGAATTGAATTGATGCTTATATCAATAAGCTCCTGTTCTCCTTAACTTTGCAAATGTCTAATTTATTAGATTTAAAAGTCATTGTAATCGTAATTGGACTTTGATTGCAATGGCTCAGACCCGGGTACGAATCGCCAAAGCATAAAATTCTAACTACAATTTTTCTAGTAAGAAATTAAATTTGCCTACATAGAGTAGAATGTGAAGAAATGTGCCATAGGCAAGATTTGGATCCCAGTTACAGCTCATAAACAGAATAAACAGCAATCCACTGTCTGAAACCCTTGAAATTGGCTTAGCAACACCAAAAGTATTTGGATTCAGCCTCCCAACTGACGTCGGAGTAATGATTAGTGCGTTAATTATTAGAGAAAAATTGTGGATTTCTAATTGCTAGAGTGCGTCGTTTGTGTATTTTTTTCTGGGTCAAATGAACTGGAGGGCAATTAAATTAAAGAGTACATTAAGAACTTAAAAGTTATTTCATTCGATTTGCATTGTTTAAGGACGGATTTTAATTAGTAAGAACAAATTAGCTCATGGAACCGATTAAGCAATTTGGCATAGAAAGCAAAAGTTTAATTCCCTTGAGCTGACTCGATATTGACCAAATAACATGACTTATAAATAATCAATATTAATAGCGCAAATTAATTATTTGTATCAGCTGGAGTCACCAAAGTTAAACAAGACTCCCCTAAGCCCATTGGGTGAAATATTCAAGATATTCATTTATTTCAAATGCCAGGCATATTGGTAGTTATCACTAGCCCTTTAGCTGACTTCAAGCTTCACAGCGTAGAGGAACATCAAAGTGGGGGGGGGAACAGAAGATTGATTCACAGATGCAAGAGACAGACACAGAGGCAGAGAAAAGGTAAGATGAGTACTGTAGAAGTGGACGAATATGACATCCAGTCAGAAGTTAACTGCCAGTTAATAGACTTTTTGCCGTATGAGTATACGTTGCCTAGGAGTTTTAGTACGAATCGTTCTCCAAATCTATTAGACAACTCTTCCCTATTTATTCCAAATTTATAAACACCACTTTCTATTATCGGTTAGCGCAATTCAGTTGTGTAATGAAAACGCTTTTTAATTGACTTTCAAGGACTTGCTGGCAGAATTTAATAGCTTGCAGTATTGCGTGGGTAGAATGATCATGATATACAAATTGAACACTTTGAAGGTCAACACGCTGTAGATAGAAAGCAGAAATAGATAATTAAGTAGCAAAAAAGTGAGCGTGAGACATGATGTATTTAATATGAACATCTCAGAAATGTTAGCATTGAGCGTATAAGTTGAAATCTTGGCTACTAAATAAGGCAGGTAACGCTCGAAATCAACCATTAGGAAAGTAGAAACGAGAATAATCATCCATTCTCAACTAAATTGCATTATTAGTAACCATAAGGGGGCTTGACGTGCCCCTAATTCGTAGCTGGCAAGCTCATATTTGCAAAGTAAACGAAGTAATTGTTGAGCTTAGTGAGAAAACCTGGATTGCTTGATGCCTAATTAATGAGATTAGAGTTGAGAAAACAAGTTGAGCAATTGGAGTCCCATTTATGAGCACCAGCAGGAGGTAAGAGGAGGTAAGCGAGTGCGCTACGCAGGAAGTGGGTCATCTTAAAGCTCACCATTGACTGCCCAAGCTCATTTAAGAAGTTGTAAATACTTAACTTGGGCAGGGAGAAGGCAACCCAGGGTTCTTCTCAATTGAGGAAGGCCCTTTGTATTAGCTTCCTCAAGAAATCATCTAAAAATGCATTTGAAAGTATGGACAATAGTAATTGAATACTATTAAAACAACTTCAATGAATGTTGGTAGCTTGTTAGCTGTGCAACCCCTGCATGCACGACGTGCCTTCCAGAATGTTTGAGCGCGCACAAAATTTCTTGATTTGGCCTTGATAACGTTTTGCTCTCCACAACAAAAAGATTATGGTGATGATTTTACCACACTTAACATTTATTTATTTATAACAAATGGCAGGCGTTTTGTTCGTTATCATTAGCCCTTTAGTTGACTTCGGGCTTCACAGAGGGGAGGAGGAACATCAAAGTGATGAAAAGTCGGGGGGGG